GCAACCTCTCCCTCTGTTACTTAACCCTCTTGTATAAGAAAAAAAAAACAACAACTGTAACTCAATTATCCTCATATTTGCATATTAGATCAGATTACTGCAATCAATTTTTTGCTGACCAACTGGAAGTTCCTTAAAGTTATGAAACTAATCAAATCTGATCGTTTGGACATGTCTTGCTTCCTTGATTTCCTTTTGATCCATTTTCAATTACGAAAACGTAGTCATCAGTTTCTTTCGATTTGCAACTTATCCGCAGGACTTTTCTCTTTGTGTTTCGTTGTCTGGTGTTTTTTTACCTTTAACAAGACAAAAAAATTAAATTACACCTTGAGAGCCTCCGACTCGAAAATTATTATGCATATAGGCAAGGTTGAATTAAGAGTAAGTTCCATGTATTGAGATTTAAAATAATACGACCAAGTGGGTTAGCTACTCTCCGTGGCGGCCACTCGGTTTTTGTTGGGGAGCAGGGATGGCGCAGTGGTGAGAGCGCTCACCTCCCTCCAATGTAGCCAGGATTCGATTCCGGCCCGGTGCCATATGTGGGTTGAGTCTGGTTTTGGTTCTTGCCTTGCTCCGAGGATTTTTCTTTGGGTTCTCGGGTTTTCCTCCCTCCAAATTCTAATTCGACCAGGATAGATGACTTGTATGGAAACCAACAAAGGTTAATCTGGCTTCTTCTCTAAATATTGTAATTTATTTTAGTACTCATTCTACTAAATATTTTTCTACTTGAAAAAAAGGGCATTTTCCACAATCTTGGATCCACCACCTTGGACCCGCCACCTTAAGTCTCCAAACGTTTCAAAAATAAGTCAGAACATCTCCAAAATTAACTCAAAAGATCAGGAATAGTATATGGTTATAAGAAATGTAAAGAATTTGGAGGACAATCCTCATAAAACCCGAATTCGAATTAAAACAGCAATTAAGTGGGCTTAACAAAAACGCCAAATTTGGCTAAAACATCCTTTGAAAAAATGTTTGCTATAGACGAGTCAAATCACGAGAACATAATTTGCAGAAAATAATCGCAAAGATTGACCACAACTGTTTGAATCCTATGCCTGTAATGAAAGACTGAAATCAACCCAGGGACCCCTCAGGCTAAATAGGGTCAAGATAACAAACAAAATAGATCAGATATGCAGTAATTTCCGGAGGTAGACCTAAGTTATCTGAAATCCTGTATGAATAATTAAATTATAGATAGGATCCTGCGCGCGCTCTGATTGGTCACAAACCCATGTTCTATCAGTGTACAAAACATAGAAAAAGCGTATTCCGGAGAAATTTGCCACATAACCTCTAGTCTACATTTTTGTTAGAGATGGCGAAAAACATTTTCTTTGAATAAATTTGTGATGGAGTTCTCTGCGAAGCAGCAGAACATTTTGAAGACGAGACATGTAACACTTAAGTGGTATTGAATTGCGTCAGTTTCTTGATCTTTGTGCTTTGCTGTTTCTACTCGGAGCGTGTAAAATCTATTATCATAAAGCAAATGAAGAAGCCCAAGGCAAAGCCGTGTATTACATTGCGACAAAACACTCCAGAAATTTGAGAACACTCGAAATTTCTACATTTCGCTCGTTTTCTCAAATGCACGTCGTGTTTTATCACAGTGTAATGCACGGCTTAAGCTTCTTTACTTGTTAAGTGATGAATAAAATTCTTCTCACGCTTTGTTGAAACTTCACGCAAAATTTCAACCTGCTTCAGGCGTTAGGTTGGTGGGAGAACAGAAATATTGAACACTGACCGCGAAAAAACATCAGTAAGGATTGTGGTTTTTCTTTGTTAATTCAAATTGTGACAGAAAAAAATCTGATTTTTAATTTATTTGTTTTGGTTAGGTACTTTACGCCCTACTGTTATGCTTAGATGCTTATACCTTGACGGCCCTAAATGTAAAATCGAATAATCTATCGTTTATAAACGCCAATTTGTAATTATTTTCTGGATTCATGGATGCTGTCTACGAATCTTTAAGCTGACTGTTTTCCTCCGTTATATGAATCTAAGTAAGACACCAAGAAGCTGGATAATATAACATCAATTATTCTTATCTCCTGATGGATTTCGTGCAAACCATGTTTACTTTTCCGCTATAAACCTAGATATACTTTAAATATATCTTTCCTCGTTAAGAAAATTCTCTAGGTAGGTAATAGATAATATCTTTTCATCTATTTGTCTTGGCTAACTTCTAATATTTCGATTTTTCTCTCTCTATAAGTCAAAGGTGTTTTTGTTGAAATCAAAATTCTAGGTATGTAGTAGATGAGATAGCTTCAGTAATTTGCCTTCGGCAATTTTCCAATAGTTCGAGCACGTTTCTGGTATAGGCCATATATAAATATATATATACTAAATATGTCTTTCTTAATCTAAATAACTATTATTAGATAAATAGCTTTATATATTTGTCTTCGCCAATTTTCCAATGGTTTACAGAAGTTTCTGGTATCACCCATACTTAATTAATTAAGAAATATATTTTTCCTAATTACAATTACAGCGATATGTTACATAAGGTATATCTCTACTATTTATCCGTCTAGGCTAATTTTCAAGGTTTACATAAGTTTCCCGGAATCAGCCATATGAAAGAAATAAGTCTTTCTTCATTAGAATTTTAACATTTTAGATATAAGATATTTTTTATCTATTTCTCTTCGCTAATATTCCAAGTCCGAGCTCGTTTCCCGTTATTAGCCATATATAAGAAATCTATTTTTATTCAAATAATTCTAAGTGCATATTAGTTATATATTGTTTTTATTTGTTTGATATTGGTTAAATTTACAATACTTGATTGCTTTAAGGTGAAAGCCATAGATACGAAATATATCTTTCTCCATTCATTAAAATTCTAGATATAAGTATTTTATAACAAATATCCTTTTTTTTGTGATGGCTCGCTTATTTCCCAATCATCGAGTTCATTTTGGTATCAGCCATACTGATACGAAATACGTGACGTATATATTTATTTTTTTATTAGAAATTTAGCCATGTAGTAGACGGGATATCGTAATTTATTCGTCTTGGCAAATTTCCTATACGCCAACTCTTTAATTTACGACGCTTGCTATATCAGTACGAAATATACATAAATATATCACATGCATCATTTAAAGGTCTAGCTGGTCAGCAGAAAAGTCAAGAGCTTTAAGCTATGTAGCGGACGACAATTTTTGAACATATTACGGCAAAAACGAAAAATAATCTGCCTTGAATCTTCTTCAACTTAAGCATATCTTTGCAATTCGCTGAGTATTTTCTCTATCATTTGTAAACGGACGTGTTTGCAGTTACTTGCTATTTACAGTGTACATTTGAATTGGCATTCCTAGTAATACACTATTTGCTCTGAAGAAGACTGTAGAAGGAAGACTGAGGTTTCTGCCTAAACAAGTCTGTAAAATGAAAAATCACCCTTTGATATCTAAAACTTATTAAATACGCGCTTTTCATTCAGTAACAGAAATGTCTTTAACCCCTCACAAGTATGAGGGGCGTACTGGGAGAATCTCGGTCCCAGGCCATGACCATACGAGCGCGGCGGGTTCTGAATATTTGAAAGCCGACATTTTCAGTCCAAGTGCGGTCTTGGGAACTGTTTGGTTAATAAGAGAGTGATGAAAGATTTATGACAAGGCTTTGGAGAAAGCTGTATACACTTAACCCGGTCCAATACTAAGAAATATTGCACGGGCAATCAAGCACGTTGATTGGCACATGACTAAGTTGTCTTATAGTACAGAACTCATTTTAATTAGGATTACTGACGCATGTATCGACACTAAGTTGCGAAATATTTCCCTCTTAAATAAACAGCAAATTGACCTTAAAAGTGTTGTACTAGACTCTCGCGTACAACTATAAACACGAAGCGAGTGGGTGACACGACATTTTCAAAAAACTACCAAAGTATACTCTAGCCTGCGAGGTATATTCCAGTCCATTATTTCCTTTCACACGGAAAGTAACAACGTCACTTTTTCCAAGTGAAAGTAGATTTACAGACATGTGCACACAGGCTATTGGCAAGCTCCCACTTTTTTACACGGTACAATGAAAGAATATGCATTTTCTAAAGGCAAATTTCCAAGCCATCCACATAGCAGGTAACCTTTCGCATTGGTGATTTCAGCTGCACATTCGTTGGACGTCAGTGAGGGCCTTATACAATAATTTATTGTATTTCAAACCAACAGCAGGCGAACGGACAAATATTAATTTTAGCTTATGTAAATGTAAGGGAACTGGCAAACGTCATTATACTAAACAATATTTCTCTATATTCCCGTTGTCATATTCGCTTTCATAATCATTTATTTCAAAAGCGGTGAACTGACCGAGAGTCAAACCGTATATTTTATTTATGCATTATTAATGAGCAGAAGATATTGAGATTTTTGTTAGATTAATGACTTTTTTGTTACAATGCGCAGCTTCAAGCTGTAGAAATATTAATTTACGTTCAAAATAGATTTCCATATCAATGAAAGTTCTCTGTTGCGTTATGAACTTGACAAGGAATTACACAACGCGATACAAGTACGAATCACGTGACAAACTAAATGATTTGTCATACATCATGCTGCATGTCTAAATTCGACCTTTCTTCAAGTTATGCACCAAACGTAATTTGTCAAATAGAAGTTGTTATCAATTTTAAACACGTTTCCTTATTGCTGCAGGATATATGTCCTGTTTTTAATGAAGACAGAATGAAAGCGCAACAATTGAATGTTGACAAACTAATTTCCTGCAGGATATTAATTGTGGTGTGTTTATTTTGGTAGGTTTCAGCCCAGTTCGAGCGTTTCACGAAGAAGGAGGCATAGAATTGATAACAGATTAAGACCATCAAAACTCACATAGTTTTATCTGCGTTCATTTCCCGGGAAGTGAATACAGGAGAAGTCTGATAAGTCTGTCTACAGATCCGCTGCAGAGCTTAAGTGACAGCTAGAAGGTAAGTTAGAGGGCAAAAACAAGAGAATTGAATTTTTCATTCATGATGATTTTGAGAGGATCAAAATAATCTTCAGACTTCTTTACGCGTGAATGAATCACTCCAATGACTTGATTTTCAGTATTCCTGGAGGCGTGAAATTTATATTTGCATGACAGGAGCTGAAGAGAGCTACGGTTATTAAATCCCCCTTTCAAAAGAAAAATCATCACTTTTCGTTAACTGCTGTGTACATGTTGTGCTATTTTATCACATGCCGTCCTTAAGGTCACCTCTACGCCAGTAACTCGGTATCGTAAATGATATTGTTTATTTACGTCCTACCAGGCCATAATTCTCAGTATTTTATGGTATTCCAACAACTGCACTCTCATCGTCTCTGGAACCGTATCTCACAGTCGTTTTTGCTTAATTTTTCCACAATGTTCTGCTTAGCTCTTAGCTGCATATCATTTAATTACATAAAAGTAATATTCGGGCTTGATTATAACTTGCTTCGCAATCTCTTTGAAGTCTACGTTTCACAGACGTTATGCCAGAAATTGGATACTTTCCTTAACACGATCAAAATGACAATTTTTCTTCGATATGCTAATCACGGAGTAGTCATCTTATCAGCTCAGAGTGAAGGCAAAAAATATATATCTATATTAAAAACTTGGTATTTTTTTTCTTTTCCGGAATACAAATGTTTTTCGCAGCAGTTCGTATTTAGCACACAGAACCAGATTGAAGAGCAACCCAGCAGCGCAATTCTATTCGAGACGTGGAAAACTTTCTTTATATCACTGAATTCTCTTATGAAAACAAGAGGGAGATCTAAGCACATAGTTTGAACAATAAATCAACTAGACATTAAATTGAAGAAGACGGACCCTGCTGTTAGGGAACAACAAAGCTATCTTAGGGTGAGTTACAATTATATGATAGCGCTTTTTGATAACCACTGAATTGCAGAGACCAACGCAAAGACAAGGTAGTTTCAATGTCAATCTTCCAAGAAAATTATGTTGTTTCCTTATCCAGTTAGCACAATTGTTGATTATTGAGCTACAACTGGTTCGAAAACGCAAGCAACTAACTCTCAACCAATCACAAACAAAGATAATTCCTTTTTAGCCAATCAGGTGTAAGCAAGCTGATGTGACGTTTCCCACCCTTGATACCATGTTCACGTTCTTTCTGCAACGATTTTCACTTTTGAATTTGCAAAATAAGTAAATCGAGCGAATGTGAGAGTAATTAAGGCTTTAAATTGACACGAGACACAGCGTATAGTCTTATGTTATCTTTCAAACTAGCGATGTTATCACCTGCTATAGAATAACAAATAAAGAAACATAAATTTGATTATTTTTTGCCGTAAAAACAGGAAAGCATAATATTACTAATGCAAATTTCATTACGCTAAGTAAAGATCTGCCAAAACCAAGCAAGACGAAACGAAGGCCAAATACATGCATGCCAAGTGTTTCGTTACTTTCCGAAGGTTTCTTTCCGATAACATATCATCTTTCAGTGTTATTTTACATACATTTCGAGAGCCGAGCGAGTTTCTCACTTTAGTTTTCTTAAAGATTTTAGAATCGTTTTATTATACCATCTTAGAAAAATGTGGAATCAAAGTACAGTTTTCGTGTTTCTCAGTTTACAAGTAGTGGAAAAAGGATAAGAAAATCAGGTTTCTCGTGCAAATTAACGACACAGCGACGAACTAAACATTGCTAACGCATTATTTCGAGAAATAATTTGACAGTAATCGTTCCTTCAAAACTAGTATCTTTAAACAAGACGTATGTAAAGATATCGGCAAAAGCATGCAACGCTTTGTTGACATGAAAAAAGAAGGAATCTTTATTGAAAGACGGGCTAATGCTGCAGAGTACAAAGTTCATTTAAAAACTACATCGTGTTTCGCTTTTTACTGCCAACTTTATGCAATTTCACAGTTTAAAAACAAACTTCCTGCCTTTTTGTTTAGCTGCTTGTCTATTTTTCCTTTATTTAAATCTTTTTTCAGTTGCCTTCTAGACTGTCTTGCTTGCTAATGCTTCAGACTTGAAAAACTTATCAGAAGCATTCTACTTTACCGAGGAAAATAGTAACTATGCGGGAAAGAAACCATACTTGTGTGTGTCCACACCGCGCGCGTATATTTGAATTGCGAGTAATTTTTTTCAACTCAAGTGTCAAAGTCAGTATCATTTTTCTTTGCTGCCCTAGCTACGATTAGGCGAGAACAAACTACTCGAAAGCCTAACAGCAATTGAAATGACGGGGGAAAAGGTTAAAATCTTGTCAGCACATCCTTGCAAACAATAGATCTTTTCTGAGAAAAAGCAAATTGGATTTTAGATCACGTTTGCTCTCAGCATCTGATCTGTCAAACTAAACAGTTGTTTCCGATGAATAAATTCACATCTGAGAGAATGTTTTTCAAGTGCAAACAAAATGTAACGCAGGCATCACGTTCTCAAAGTATATTTACTTAAGCAAATGGAATTTTACTTAGAAGCCATAAGTGCAACTTATGGCAAAGAGTCGTCTCTTATCGTGACGCAATGATACGTCATTCAATTCCCGGATGTTACTTATCAGTGAAATCTGTCTAGTCCAAGTAATAAATCTTAATTTACTGAAGGTCGTCAAACAAAGATAAAATATGTCATACAAGTTTCACGGTATTATTGCTTAGTTTTTGAAATCCAAGCAAAGCAGTATGCCTCTTCCTATTTGAAGATGGCAAGTCATAAGCACGTGTTAACCTTGAATAGCATCTTGAAAGTCGGTTGATGCAAAAGCTTACATGTCAATCCGGCTATTTCAATTTCCTATTCGAGATCTCGTTCTAAATGCACTATTAATACTTTAATCACCGACTTTTGCATTTATGAAGAGTGTTAATGGAATCACAAATCAGCCATCTTTTGTTTCTTCACGACGTATACGCTTTATCTTATTCAATCTTTTCTTGTCACCGCCTTCCAATTGACATTATCACAGCTTCAGTCTCGAATTATCAACCTCTAAAAGCGCGAAAGTTTATTTTAAGGCTATGAAAATATCGAGTCGTCGTAATTTAATAACACCCAGAGTCAGCTATTGTCCGTTTTATGAAAGACAGAACAATTAACTACACACTTCTTTAATCTTAATTAATTGTTAGTGTTAAATCAAAGAAAATACCAGATTTTGCATTGTCATCGAATTAACCATACGACTAGTACGGAAACTGAGCCAAAATAGGGTAAAATAGACAGGCAATAATGTTGGCAATCGAAATACACGGAGAAAGATATCAGGAAGAAAACTCACAAGGAACGTTAAAAAGCACCCGAAACGTCTGTTGAGATTATGATCGATGCATTGCCCTGATACTGCCAAGTAAATTTACATTTTAAAGACGTAAACAAAGATCTCATCCAACATGGTAATGGCGAATACCAAACAACAGCACTACATGGAAGTACCCCTAAAATTCTTTCATTTGAATGGTCAAACACTTGGGCTTCATCCGCAGACATAATAGTTAGAACTTCCTCGTACAGCATTATAAGCAGCACCACATGTAAGTATTACTCAGTAGCTTTCGTTTGAATTGTCACGGACAGGGGCTTTATCTACCGACAAAGTAGTTAGAATCATCTTTTGCAGCGCAATAAAATAGGCACCTCATCAAAGTATTACTCAATAGCTTTCATTTGAATGACCACACACCAGGTTTCGCCCATAGACTTTCAAGTTACTTCCACCTTTCGCAGCCAAATCAAAAAGAACCAATTGAAAGTACTGCTTAATAGCTTCCATTTCAATTACAACTCACTAGGTTTTCATCCAAGCAGGAATTACTAGACTGCGGAAGGTATAAATATTAGTCTGCTACTGTAAAAACTGCTAAAATCTTTAAGTATTTTTTTTTTTAAGGTGCGTTTAAATTATCGTTTCGGAAACTTCCATGCTGGCGATGCTGTAACTGATCTCTTAAAGTAAGGGCGTTTCTGAAAGCCTTTATACAGAGTGTCAATGTTTGCCTTCGCCTTTTACTCGCAAAACAAAACACTGCTTTCTTTAGTTAAATAATGTCAAAAAAGGATTGATGTAAATGCACACAGAAGATATCAGGACAAAGATTTTGTGTCAGGGCAATCAATCCCGCGGCAATACAAGGGGTCTGACTTCACTAAAAGCTGTTCAATCCAGGCGTGTACAACGGTGTTAGCCAGTTCTTGTTCAGAATCGTTTCAACTCGATTGAGTCATTGAGTCTTTCTTGATTTTCTACAGTTGACTGCGAAGAGTAAAGTCACAGTACTGAACAATGTCTTCGGCAAGCTGCTTAACAACGCAAAACTGCACTCCAAATTCAACGAACGCTCCGGGGACCGAACCAAAAGAAGATGACTACGTTCCTGGTTTTAGCGCCGAACGCGATTCCTTCCCCATCGCTATTGCCATCTTGATCATTGCTGTGAACTGTTGGGTGGTCGCTTTGGTCTTCATGAGACGGAATCTACGGACAGTGACAAACTACATCTTGACAAGCCTGGCTATATCTGACCTCTGCACTGGAGCCATATCGATTCCACTGTTTCTGTCCTGCACCATCGTCCAAGAGACGGAAATCTGCGTGGCGTCCATGATAGCGATGCGGTTCACGTCTTTTTCGACGGTATTGCACATTCTGACCATGACAATTGACAGATACATCTGCATCGTCTTCGCCTTACGATACATGAGTTGGGTCACGAAGCGACGTGGATTCCAAGTGCTAACACTCATCTGGCTTTTCTCTCTCCTCTTGGCGCTCGTCCAACTTTCCTGGACTGATTTGCGCGAAGATCTCAAAGACGACCATTCTGAAGAATCGAAAAAAATGATTATCATTTACGATATCTTCTGCTCCATCGCCTTCACTGGGATTCCTGTGGCCTTCATGGCTTTCACTTATGGCCACATCTTGTACGAAGTTCACAGGCAGAGCAAGAACATCCAGCAACACAACACTCCTGGATGGCAGGAGACAAGACGAAGCACCAAGCAAGAATGGAAAGTGGCCACCATCTTCCTGATCATGTTGCTGGTATATATTGTGTGTTGGGTACCGTTTTATCTCCTGCGACTAGAATATGTCCTGGGCAGCGATTTTGTGAAGCTTAATTTGAGCGATCTAGTTATAGTACTGTTACATTGGTTGAGATTCTGCTCGTCCCTAATCAATCCATGTTTGTATATTTTAGGGAAGCCTGATTTCCGCAAGGCCTCGGGTTTTAAGAGAAAGAAAAGGCAGCAATATGAATCAGAGTTAACTCGCATCTCCCAAACGAAGGCGTCGTCGACGGCTGTTTAGAAACTGGTAGGGTAGGGTGGGATGGGAGTGCGTTAAAATTTACCAACTACACCCTCCGTAGTATATAGGAAATATTTTAAGTTACGGATGGTTGGGAAGGTATAGGTTAAAGAATAACCATGAGAAAGAAATAATGACCAGAAACCATGGTCGAGAAGCTATCTGAAGCGCCGCAAGGCTGAAACAAAGCTGAGAACATCTGTTAAAAAAGAGAATCCAAACATTTTACTCATAATTAATACATGACAAGGTGATCTACACAATGTTAGAAAATACTCTGTTGATGTAGCAAAGTGACATTCATCAGTAACCGTCTATTGCCAAAATGTCTCTAAGAGATAGGCTATGGTTGCTTGACTAAAACATAACGTTACTATTAAACAAAGGGTAACCTGTTTTAGCTTGTTTTAGTTCCTCACATCTCCCGGTAAAAGATAAATACTGTACGATCAAACACCTGGGGAGAGGGGGAGAAAGGACTCGGCGGAGGGATGCTTCTCGTTTCGCTTACGGTTGTAAATAAGGTTTGTCATCTTTCTGGATTTAATTCAAATCTTTTGATGAGCATGCCGAGAACTTTTCACATAAGGGTCTCCACTGGATCGAAGAATTAAAAATACTGGCTATCATATGCCTTTATATACGAACATCTAATTTCTATCAGATTCTTCAGTCGAGATTTTTTTTTTTTCAATCCGAATGCCAGTACGGGGTATGAAATAGGCCAACATAAACGAGCAATCACTAGAACCCTTTAGTAAACTAAGCACTAAATAAAGTTGTCCAATAATTTTCAATTGATTTTCAGGAGAGAAAAGATCGAGTTGCACATGAAACAATTCATTTATCCCAAAAGGTCGTATCTGATAGCACCCAACAATGATCTGTATCTACTGACAGGTGATGTGCAATATGTATATAGCTATATGTATATGAGATGTATTTTAACAGCAAAGTTATAGTCATATTACATAAGCAGAACACGTAGTTATCCAAATCCTATTTATCAGTCGAGAGCGACAACTCGCACCTCATAGCTCAGGGATATTTGAGTGTTTTCGTTTAATTGTAAAAAACATCACAGATACTATCTGTAATAAATCATTTTATTGCATGATAATGTGGTTTTGTTTATTTCGAGCGTTCTGGTTGTTTCTTTCTTGGTGGGAATTTTATCTACGGACCATTTCTTCTTTTTCAAGGGTGCTTTCTAAATCGGGATAAGGTAAAATTGCAATAGGCCATTTCCGAGTTACCTTGTGCCTCTGTTTCAAAACGAATCCTCGAGCTCGTGCAAAACCTTTCATCTGAAAATGAGTTTGATTTGCATGAAAATGAACCTGTTGGGAGAAACATTTTCATATGAATGATTTTGCTCGAAGTCTCGTTTTGACACAAAGGCAAAAGGCAACTGGGAGATGGCCTATTTATATCTCTAAAATTTCCTGTACTGAATGGCAGGCGAGGCTGTAACTAGGAAATTGTGTCAATTCTTCAGTGCTTGGCAGTATTTATTCGAGAGTTGGTTCCCAAATCGGCTACGCTTCCACATGGAGCGGGAGTTTTATTAGAACTTAGCTTATTTCTACAGGGCCATAGCCAGAAAAAAAATTATGACTGAGGCAATGTCCATGCAGGATGTAATTTCTACCCTAAGTATTTGGTAGTGGCTTACATTCTCCCTCCAAAAAAAAACAAAAAAAAAACAATAGAATCGAAACAAAATGACAGAGTCAAGTCCCTAGGTTTGCCTTAGACTGGCTACGCCCCTGTTCCAGCTTAATTCACAGTGAAATATTTCAGTGCATCGATCTTGTTCTTCACTGTTAGTACGTTTTCAAACTAAGCGCCATGGGCATGCACGATCTTATTCACAAGACTAAAGCCACATACAGCAATGAGTACAGGCGTATCATCAGTGCTGATTAACAGGCATTCCGTGCACCCCAATAGCATGGTGCTTTGATCACGTCAGTACAATGATTTGAACTTTAATTGTATGGGGAATTTAGCTGGAAATATGGTCAAATTAGACTGCCCTGCTCCCTCTAACTTGTCACCGGAATTTCTTTGTGCAACAATATCGAGGCTAAATTTTGCGAAATTTTGGGAATATTTTACGAATAAACCCCGAGAGTGGGATTGTGAAAAGAATATAATTTTGTGTGTTGAAAATTTACAAATACAGTACACATTGACTATATGGAACTGAACCGTATAAAATCCTTCCTTTCTCTAAACAACACCTGTAACCAAAAAACAACAAACTCGGCAGTAGCCGCATGTTCCACTGATGCTAATTTCTGCTAGAAGTTATGTGTGTCATATTAGGTTTATTGTCTGGCTGGCTCCAATATGACTTTAACGCAATCAATGTCATGATATAGGACAGATAGCCTGACGTTTTATCGGCAAAGTCGACTTTGTAATCCTTTATCTCGTCTAAAAATATTCATAAGAACATATTTTCAGCCTAAAATAAGCAGAAAAATAAGAAGATTCAGCCTGGGCCGCTAAAACAATATTCTTGTTAAAAGTAGAGCTAGTGTCAGGTAGCGCTTAACATTTTGTTTTAAAAAAATCAAATTTTAGTTCAACACCGAGGAAACAATCGAGACATACCAAGCTCAAATATTTAAAGTGATCAATATGTTGGAAGCAATTATTTGTTCTCCTCAAGTTGAAATTCTAAACCTAAATATTTCAAAATAGCTTCAAATCGGAAAAAGTAAATTTATTGTGTTCCTCACTGATCAAATAGCGGGGCGGGGTTTAGTGATAGAGATTGGCATCTTCTGCATGGTTTTAACTGAGTTGAGCACATTTATCATTTTCGCTAACAAGCAATGTTCCAAATTAAAAACGTATATGTTTAATATGGTAAAAATAGCTGATGTAAAAACAAAGAAACACAGCGCGGAACTGTTATCCAATTCAGTAGGGACGGCTGGATCTGTTATTAATGTTATGAAGGTTAAAGCAATTCCAAGGAATTCTATGGAGGATGGGGCCGAGATTGGGGCTATCGTTCAGAAATTCCAGTGGCAGTAGAGCGAGACTGGGTGACAACGATTCCATTCGATCGCGGGCTAATACCAACATTGTTGCTAGCCGTTACAAAACGACAGCCTTGCACGCTACTATTTGGAAGTAGCATTCATTACTCACGAAATCCCTCTTTATAGAGTAAATTACAATATTTTGAGAGGAAGCCACATCGGCCTTAGCTGGTTTTCATGTAGGTCCTCTTTCCCGGTTGAATTGGAATTTGGAGATGCAGATATTTTGTGGAGGGATCGAGAAAAACCGGAGAAAAACCCTCGGAGCAATGCGACAACCAATTCAACCCCACACACAAACTAGGGCAACAGGCTGGAATCGAACCTGCGCCACATTGGTGGGAGTTGAGCGTTCTCACCACTGCGCCATCCCTGCTCCCCTAATAGTATAACTGGATAACCTAGCGCCCTCCATATTCCTTTTTTCACAAAATATTCCTACAGACTGTGCATTTCTTCATTGTCGACTTTAACGCAGTACAATTCAATAACACTGATGCAGTTTGCTCAACCCGTCAACGCCCAAGTGATCAAAAATTAATTTCTCCTTACATTATCTTTACATTCTCAAAAGGGGGCAAGCGATGAGAATAAACAAAATCAACTGGTGAACCCTTTGATCTACCATCAAATTCTCATAACATTAATAAAGATGCTTAGAAAGGGTGGTTTAGCAACCTGTAAACAGAATTCATGTTTTGAACTTGAAACTGAAATGGTTGTTGGATTTGTCATTAACTGTAGTTGATGGATTTGACCACTTAGGTTTGGTTTCATTTAGTGGTGCTCATATGGGTGCTCATCATCAAATAGCACTGTCACCTCCATATCAGGAGGGGTGGAGGCAATTTGTATTGGTGTTTGTTTTCCAAACGTTTAATATCACTCCCACCACAACCCAATGGAGACATTCCAAGATTCCACAAAAACTCCCATTTTTTGTTTTTACCCAAAATAGCGGGGGGATGGGCTCCGCTAGACCCACCACTGAAAACCGATTACTCCCACCACAACCTAATGGAGGCATTCCAAGATTCCGCAAAACCCCCCATTTTTTTTTTTTTTTT